GGCAGACCTCTCCTGACCCGCCTACTGCTCCCCTCAGCAGTGTACTTCGTCGATCTGCCTGTTCTGTTCCCGGCTCTGTCTCTGGTGAAGCCTCTCGCCGCCCCTGAGCCTCTGGCCTGTACCCAGTTCTGTATGTTCTGTATGCACAAATAAATAAATCTTTTTTTAAAAAAAAGATAGTGAACGACAATGTATTTATATAAGATCACAATACCATTTATTTCCACCACTAAGAAACCCCATGTCAGCAGAAGACTTACCTTCTCTATCCTGAAGTTTGCACAGGTCTGATAAAACTCGCTTGCCACAAAGCTATATTCAGGATGGCCAGGCTGTAGACCAACCACAAGGATATTCTGCTGCTTCATGTCAGTCCAGTGAGCAGGGATCTCAACTGCAACATGGACAATTGATTCTACCTCAGTGGGGAAGAGCCTCTACACAGTCCTTGTTCCTGGTGTGCTCTGAAAATGTGAGTACTCTCTGTGTTCTTGTTTACAATCTCCTCATTCATTGTGTTCAAGGTCTTCCTTATCTTTCTAGACTGTTTTTTAAAATGTGGACCAATGCCAACCTACATGTGAGGCAACCATAATCTTGATAAAACACACACACACACACAGGGCCCTCCTTGGTGGCGCAGCGGGTTGGAGCACAGCACTGAGAAGCTAAGCTGAGTGGTGACAGCATCAGTGCAAGTTCGATCCCAGCCCCGGAGGTGACCCATATGACATGGCAGACCTCTCCTGCTCACCCCTTCTCCCTTCAGCAGTCTACTTCGTTGATCTGCCTGTTCTGCTCCCCACTCTGTCTCTGGCAAATCTTCTTGTCACCCCTGTACCTCTGACTGTACCCCTGTTCTGTGTGCATAAATAAATAAATCTTAAAAAGAAAACAAACCACAACTGTGGCACATGAAAATCTCTGGAATAGGGGTTGTATCTGTATGTGTTGTGAAGAGACTTTACTGTGCTACTGTGTCAGGGATCAGATGAGATCCATGAGGATGTCACCATCCATGATACAGGGCTACAGACCTGATTAGGGGACTGGGCCTGGGAACCCCCTATCAACAGCCTAAGACTTGGCAGTGGAGCCCAAGTGGGAAGCTGAGCAGGCCAGTATGCCTGCATCTTTACAAGTTCTGATCACATGCAGATTTGAGGACTGTCAGTGTAGGATAACATAGCTGCATAGCCTATTCAGTGTTAGCCCTTCATAATTTAGAAATTTAATAGTAAATTACTCTCTATAGTCTCCAGTAGTCACTATGTCTTCTTTCCAATTGCATGACTGTGGCCACAGGCCACCACATCTGTTTTTTCATTCTTCAAAGCATCCTTAAAACTGTGTGTGTTTGGGGCCCTCCCTGATGGCGCAGCGGGTTAAAGCACAGCACTGAGAAT